TCGTCTCATGGCCAGTGTATTTGTAAAGCTCACAATATTTTGTGGGGTCCCACCCCCAAGGATCAGATTTCATCCGAGGCAGCTATCGGATGAATATTTCATTCTGGACCTCATAGAGGACTTGTGCAATTGAGGTGATCAGGGACGAGAGGTGTACTGGAGCATATCGGGGCTGTAACTCTTTTGGTGGGGGTCCTAGGCGGTCTTTGACATTGCCTCTTCTTTTTGGAGAAGGCCCTTTCTCTCTTCTCAGAGAACGATCCCCCTACGGGGACCGGTCATGTTTTTTCTCTTTTCTAGGACTGCCTTCCCTTTTCTTCTTCTTTCTTTCTATGGATGTCAACCCTCCTTTTAGGCGAAGGACCTCTTCGCCATTGATGTACTTCTCAGCCTTTGCAAGTACCTTAACCATAGTGGCTTAAGGATTCTTGTTGATTGAAAAGAGAAGGTCCTTCGACTAGACTCCGAGTCCGGACATGAATGTAGTCAGTGCAAACTTGTCATCTACACTGTCCATTTTCAAGCACTCTTGATTGAAACGCTGTATGTAGCTCCAAAGGGATTCGTTGGGTCCCTGTTTAACACTCCAAAGGTGATATGAGGGTTTCCTGTATGTTCTGCCCCTAATAAAATGTGATACAAATTGTATAGATAGTTCCTTAAAGGAAGAGATCGACACCAATTGTAATCTATTAAACCAAGCTATCGTCGATCCTCTGAGGGTTAAGGAAAAATCTAGGCAACAGATAGGGTCCGGATATCCGTGTAGCTCCATTTGATTTTTATATGAATTCAAGTGGTCCACAGGATCCTTGGTTCCATCGAACGCTTCTATAAACGACATGCAAAATTTTTTAGGAAAGGGAAAATGGAGGATCTCAAGGGTAAAAAAGGACTCAATTTGTTGAACTAGGACGTCCATGGTGTCGGGGGCTTTCCCCTTAACCACTTCCTTCATGTTCCCTAACTCTTGTTGGATTTCACGAAATTTTTGTTCCCATAAATGATCCATGACGTCTAGTGGAGGAAGGGGTCAATCTTCTCGGTGAATGGCTCTGGCCCAGTTGTAGGCTTCATCTTTTATATGTTCGCTCAGTTGTCTCCTCCAATGATTATCTTTAGAGTAGCTATGTTCATGGAGTTCTGTGACTCCATTGGGCGGCACTTGACGGTCCAGAGGAGGAAAGTTGTGTTGTGCTGCTGGAGGAGGAGGATGAGGAGGCTCGTAATGCAATTATGGGATATGCGGGAGGTGGTGGGCTTGTATCCACGTGATCAAATCTTGATTCTGTTTCATAAGTTGTAGAGTGGTTCGGCGATATGTCTAGGAGGAGGATTTACTGTCGAAGGGAGGTTTTCGAAGTCCGCTATAGGGGTGGGGAAGTTCTCTGGTGGGTTTTGATGAACTTGGGGGTTGGCGTGAGATTTACTCATATTCTGGGTAGAAACAATCAAACTAACAGAGATGTATGACGAAAACTTTTAAGGAAACAATGAAAATCTTTTCCCATAGATGGCACCAAACTGATGGTGCTTGAAAATATTAGCCTTAGTCTAGAACCACAGTCTAATGGCCTAGAGAGGGGGTAGAATGGAAAGATGAGTTGGAAATGGATGAAACTGTGAGAAACAAACAAAGATACTATGTGAGTGGTTCACTTTAACCGAAGGACAAAAGTTACGCCCACTGTAAGGGAATCTCTTGCTCCTTGAGAGTTGTATATTGCTTGAAGAGTGTTATTATAATGGCAATAATGGCTTAGAGCCATTACAAGAAATGCTTACAAAATACAAGCTTATCTGTGTAGATAACTGAGCAATCACTGAGGAAGACGGTGGTCATCCTTTCTGTAGTGTAATAGTGTTATATTTATACAAATAATCCTTCTAGGGTTTTTTGCGGCTCCTTCTTCCTTTTTGCAGATTTTGTGGGCTCTTCTACTTTTGTTATATAGCACCTTCTGCCATATGACGCCACTGCACCCACGGTTGTTGAGCGGTTATGCGCACCAATATTCTTTGTGGTAGAGAGTGCGTATTCGTTATAGGTGTCAAAAATGGTCCCTCTGTCCTCAAGACACGTGGCGTGACGGGAACATTTCAGGATTGGCAAGGGGCCGAGCTCCTTTATCCTGAGTTGACCTCCAGTTGAGCTGGATTGGCGTTGGGCTAGACTTTAAGCCTTTAGGCACTGTTGGGTTTCATCCTTTGGGCGCGGTTTATTTGAATCTTGGTGTGGACAGACTGCGGGTGAACTATTTGTGTCATTCTTCAAGAAAAGGCCTACTAGACGTATTGGGTTTTTCATTAGGGCAGCCCATATCTACAATTTCATCATTATCATAAAAGAAAAATAAAAAAACAAAAAAAATGAGACCAAACGACGTGGGTTTGACATAATGATATTTTTTATTTCATGTTTATATATTTAAAATTTAATAATAATATTATGCCTGCTAAAAAAAGGGAACAGAAAAAAAGTAAAATAATATGAATTCTGACATGATAAATAAAACTTAAACTTAAGCAAGAATAATGTTGAGTGTAATAAAATTTATACTAAATTTCAAATACCAAATGATGAGTTATGTCGACAATCATTAGATAATTAGTAAAAATCAATAAAATAAAAAAAATATCATTATTACTCTATGGAAAGACATTATTATTATAATATTACATCATTTAATTTTTATTTTTTTCCTATTCTTTAGTAGCATATTACTCAATATATATATATATATATATGTGTGTGTGTGTGTGTGTGTGTGTGTGAGTGTGCGCGTTGTTGTTTGTTTTTTTTGGGGGGGTTTTGTTGGGGGGAGGGGGGGGTGGATTAGTAACGTCAACGAAATAGTGGACGACCGGTAAGCTTTTAGAATCGAATGTGGCACAATAAATTATTATTTCTGTATGCTATCATGTAAGCTTTTGGGTCAAATTATGCAAGTGGATCTCATACTTTTGTTCTGTGCGCCAACAGTAAACTGAAAAAAAATTAGAAAAATTATAACTTTTTGAGGTTATATAATCCCTTTTGGTATAATAAAAAAAATAAAAAAATGAAAAGTTAAAAAAATAAATAAAACATCATGTTTAGTAAGGAAAGAAAATAGGAATGATGAAAAAGTGGATAGATTAACTTTTCTTTCAACTCACCAAAATCAATCCCTCTAAAATCGGAAGAAAAGTGGATGAAAAACTAATTATTTGTGTTGAGATGTATCTTATTTTTAAAATTAAAAATTAAAATTAAAATTTTAAATTAAAAAAATATTTTTTCCATCTTAACTAGGGGTGAAAATTTTTGACTCAACACGATAACACTACTCGAACTCGATATGAATTTTATAACACAAACTTGATCATAACTCGACACGAACTTGAAAATAACATGACACGCGAATAAGAAATATAAAAGACTCATATTCAGTTCAATCAGTCAAACTCAAAATTGACATCATCAACCCATTTATTTAAAAATAAATATTTTCTCTATTTTCTAGTTTGTATAGTAACACGAAACTAACATATTTAATTAGTATTATAGACATAACATGTTAATTATTTTTAACTATTTATTAAGTATTGACATAATTATTATATAAAAAAGAAATTTTTACTTATTATTATTATATTTATTTAAGTTAATTTTTAGTTTGTAGAAAAAATATTAACATGGATTCAATTAAGTGAAAAAAGAATATTAGTGTTAAAGTTTTTATTCAAAGTTTATGTCAACAGAAATACGAACACGAACACGACACAAAAATAAACAGATCAACTCGCAACTTGACACGACACAATTAGTTAAATGAATTGAGTTAGGTTTGACTAATGTTTGACACAAACCCGTAATGACTCCACACGAATTTGATACGACACGACTCGATTGTCACCCCTAATTTTAGTCAGCACAAAAAAAAATGTTATTTTTATTTTCCATCTATCCAACCAAATACAAAAGAAAGAAAATGTATCATTCTTACTTTAATTCTTTGAAGGATTGAAAGTATATCCCTTCAACTTTTCATCATTCATACTAAACAGAGTATTAGAGTTAAAGTTACAATTTTTTGGGGGTCGAATTATAATTTTTTAGAGTGTTTGATATTGATCCAAAAATGTTTGCATCAATCCTAAATTTTTCGAATCGATTGTAAAAACTCAAAAATTTGTAATTGACAGCAAAAAATTGTACATGGTTGGAAGTTACAGATTTTTTTTTTGGGTACCATAACATATCTATTTTTAGCTTGAGTCAAATAATAAGTTAAGGACAGTTAGGTTCACGATATAATTATGTGGGGTACTTCCAATTTATATTGAATAACATGCAACACACCAATATTAAGATTCTAAATTGGTGCTATAATACAAGTTGTAATCCTATTTGAATTCTGGTATAAGTACGTTTTGTAGACGTAGGCAATAATTTTGACAAACCATGCAAGTGTTTTTGGGCATTATTTGACTACTTTTTTTTCTCCTTAATTGTTCGTTATACCACATGTTCTTGAGATTCTCTTAGACTTTAAAATTTTGATGTGTTTCCTTCATAGTTCTAGAGGAAACAAGTTATCCAGATGAAAAGACCATCTCTGCCAACTATATGCAAAGCCAGTCAAAGTTTGTACACAACTATATTACATTCTATATTCTAATGATGTGCAAACAATACAATTCTTTCTAAGTGAAATACATGAAAAATACATGAAAAAAAATACATTGTCTGCAAAGTTGAAATCTATCCCTTTAATTTTGCATAATGTTATGTTCTTGCTAATTAACTTGTCATTTCAACCTCGGTTCTTCTTGCTTCTTGGTCAGCTATTTTATTGTTGTTCCTCCCGGTGATTCTCTAAGTATTGCCATTGAATCCGAGACTTCAGCCTTATACACATAGAACTTGGCCATTACTATGAAGAAAATCAAATTCAAAAAGTTGAGTATCGCGAAAAATGCATAATAGTAGTCAAGATGAGAAGCATTGAGGTTGTTCAAAATCCATCCATGGTGGCCATGCCTTTTGGTGACACGGGAACTGTTGAAAGAACAAAACTGCTAATAAAACTCCCAATTCCTAGACTAGTCATGGCATAAGAAGTTTCGAGACTCTTCATGTTCTCGGGTGCATGATCATAAAAAAACTCAATCTTCGCGACCTCTAGAAATGCGTCTGCAGTGCCCATAAGCACAAATTGAGGAAGTAGAATGAAAATTGATAAAGGTACCGGCTTTCCACTTTCAACAAGACCATGGTCCTTGGCCACATTAAGCCTATGCATCTCAGTTAATGAAGCAATTGTCATGATAGTAATGTGGAGGACAATACTAACTCCCATTCTTTGGAGGAGAGTGATGCCTCTAGGGTTCTTGGTCAATTTCCTCATGATTGGGACAGAGACTCGGTCGTATGACACGATGCAGACGAGCATGGAGATCGTTACAAATGCAGATAAATTGGCCGGAGGAATTTTGAAGCTACCGATGTTTCGGTTGAGAAGGGTCCCTTGCTTGACAAAAAGGGTATTAATTTGAGCAATCATTGTGCTTGGAACAAATGTGGCCACCCAGATTGGTATCATTCGCAACATTTGCTTGGTTTCCTCGACTTGAGTTACTGAACACAAAATCCATGGATTGGTTAATCCTGTTTTAACACAAGCTTTGTTGAGGAACCTGCAATAATGTGTGCATTAGAACATTATNCAAGCTTTGTTGAGGAACCTGTAATAATGTGTGCATTAGAACATTATCTGGTGGAAGTATTCCAAACCTAGGTTGCAAAATGTGTCTAGAAAGCCCAAAGCCCTATTGATGGATCAGATTCAATCTGAATCCGAATNCAGGTGGAAGTATTCCAAACCTAGGATCAGATTCCAAACCTAGGTTGCAAAATGTGCCTAGAAAGCCCAAAGCCCTATCGATGGATCAGATTCGATCTGAATCTGAATCCAATTGATCGAATATAGATTAATATTTTTAACCGATTATCTAAATCTAAACCCCTTATGTCAAATTTAACAACACAGTTGCATACACCAAAATCCGATATCTTTGGGTATGTTATTTGGATAGGATAAAATGCTAATTTTATCTGGTCTGAATTGTAAAAATAAAATTCCTGTAAAGTTGTTGGATCAGAATGAGATCGTCGACAAGCTTGGAAAGCTAGGCCGAAGCAAAGTCCACAACAACCTCATGAACTATGTCAGATTAGTTCCTTCTAATGGGCCAACCAAAGAATTTGGGCTTAACTGAGCTCCCACTTACTAGCTGCTGGGCTTAAACCAAAATTTCAAGAAAAATTGAAGAGTAGAATACAAACCTTAAGGTGGGTGTGGAGTCGATCCTAAACTTTCCCTTCTTGGTGTATTCTTCACAATCAAGCTCATGGAGTTCTTTAGGGTCAGCAGGAAGGGATAGCCTACACTTCCTTACGGCAGCCACTATAACCCTAGCCATCCTTGTGAAGGGACTCCCAGCGGGCACCTTGTGCAGATAAAATGGCGTGCCCGCCAAGAAGATCAGTATTGATATTGCAAGGCCCACGGTGGGAATCCCGTAACCCAGGGTCTAGCCCACATTGTCTTGTATGTAGACAAGAATTGTGTTGGCAAAGAGTGTCCCAAAGAAGATGCTGAACACCCACCAGTTGAAGAAGGAGAACTTGTGAACTTTACCGTCGAATTGGTCGGCTCCGATGGTCGAGATGTTCGGCTTTGTCCCGCCTGTACCCACAGCCAGTGTGTAGAGGGCACCATAAAATACAGCTAGTTGTATTGTGGATGCCTTCTTGCAATTCTCTACATTTGGATCCACACAGTGAGGGGGCTTTAGTCCAGGGATTGAAACTGATAGTGTTAGAACAGACATTCCCTATCANGCAATTCTCTACATTTGGATCCACACAGTGAGGGGGCTTTAGTTCAGGGATAGAAACTGATAGTGTTAGAACAGACATTCCCTGTCATCATATCAAAAGAAACCCAATGTGAATATAGGATGATTGTATTATTACTCATTTTTTAAGCAAAAAAATGCAATGACATACTTGATCTTAGCCAAAAGGCCGAGAAATGTATAACATACGATTTTTAGAAAAAGTGCTTAAAAAGCAAAAATATGAAAAATTACTTCTAAATGTATTATCAATAGAATAGGTGCTTGCTACTAAGCTGTACTAAAAATTAATAAGTAGTTATGGGTAGTAACTTTTGAAAATCAGACAGCCTATTAAGTTACAAAATGTGTGATAGTGTGCGTGTACATGGTAAAAATTTAGGATGTGTCCTATTTTTTGGATTGATTAGAAACGATCCCATTGAGTCATAATCTCATCTAACTAGGTTGAAATCCTAACAAAATAAATAGTAACTTTTAGTATAGTACCAAAAAAATAACTCTTATATATATATAGTGTGTGTGTGTGTGTAATTCAAGCTTATGTTGTAAATCTAGTCTTATTCAGTCAATATTGGTTGCAGGCAAAAATAAAATTCTGCCCAAATGAGAAAGGAAAAATCACATCAGTTGACATTGTGGAATTCCATTTTTACCCTCATTTGTTGTGACAAAATTGATAGTTTATACGAGTAACAACAAAATTTGTCATGTCCAAATTCAATAAACAATATATTTAAATTTATCAAAAGAATAATTCAATAAACACCCATTATGACATGAAATGTAAAATTCTTGTGACCAAGATGGAGGAGTAAATGTGTGTGAAATACTTCTAAAGTATTGACTTTTAGTTCGAAACTCATTTTACGTGTTTAGTCTTGAAAAAAAAAAAAACTAACATTGTATGTGAAGATATATTGAGTTAATTTTTACTCTATTATAGTTTGAAAACTTAATTTTTACTCTAAAACGTGTTTTAAGCAAGGAGTCGTCCAAACAAAATCCCACCAGCTCCAATTGGTTGGTAGATTTAAGCAAGACTTTGCTGGCTAAGTTACCTTTCTAGCTCTACCGAACATAATGAAACACTATCACACACACACACACACATGTATACATATGTATATGTATATAAAAAATAGAGTGTATATAATTATACATACCACAAAATAGATTGCAGAGGCGAAGACAAAGGTCCAATACCGTCCTAAATGGGCGTCTGCTACGTATGCACCCAAGATTGGAGTCATCCAAACAGTCCCAACCCAGTTGGTGACATTATTGGCTGACGTGACTGTGCCCTGGTGGAGCTTCTTGGTGAGATAAAGCACCAAATTTGATGATATGCCATGGTAAGCCATCCGTTCAAAAACCTCATATACTGCACCAAAAATCAACAAAATGAATGTTCAAATCAAGACGATTTGCCACACAATCAATCTGTTGGACCAATTGCATCAATTGTTTCGGAAATTACAAGAAGT